CCCTCGCCCGCCGCCCCTGCCGCCCGGTCAGCCTGCCGCCCTGTCAGCCCTGCCCCCCTGTCAGCCCTGCCAGCCTGCCCGCCCTGCCCGCCCTGTCAGCCCTGCCCTGCCCTGTCAGCCCTGCCCTGCCCGCCCTGTCAGCCCTGCCCGCCCTGCCTGCCCTGCCGCCCTGTCGGCCCTGCCCCCCTGTCGGCCCTGTCGGCCCTGCCGCCTGTCGCCCTGCCGCCTGTCGGGCCCTGCCCGCCCTGTCGGCCTGCCCGCCCTGTCAGCCTGCCCTGCCCTGTCAGCCCTGCCCGCCCTGTCCGCCCTGCCGCCCTGTCGGCCTGTCGGCCCTGCCGGCCCTGTCGGCCCTGCCGCCCTGTCGCCCTGTCGCCCTGCCGGCCTGTCAGCCCTGCCTGCCCTGTCAGCCCTGCCCTGCCGGCCCTGTCAGCCTGCCCCGCCCTGTCAGCCTGCCCGCCCTGTCCGCCCTGTCAGCCCTGTCCGCCCTGTCAGCCCTGTCAGCCCTGTCAGCCCTGCCCGCCCTGTCAGCCTGTCCGCCCTGCCCGCCCTGTCAGCCCTGTCCGCCCTGTCCGCCCTGTCAGCCCTGTCAGCCCTGTCGGCCCTGCCCCGCCCTGTCAGCCCTGCCCGCCCTGCCCCGCCTGTCAGCCCTGCCCGCCCTGCCCGCCCTGTCAGCCCTGTCAGCCCTGTCAGCCCTGCCCGCCCTGTCAGCCCTGTCAGCCCTGTCCGCCCTGTCAGCCCTGTCAGCCTGCCCGCCCTGTCAGCCCTGTCAGCCCTGCCCGCCCTGTCAGCCCTGTCAGCCCTGCCCGCCCTGTCAGCCCTGCCCGCCCTGCCCGCCTGTCAGCCCTGTCCGCCCTGCCCACCCTGTCCGCCCTGCCCGCCCTGCCAGCCCTGCCTGCCCTGTCAGCCCTGCCCGCCCTGCCCTGTCCGCCCTGTCCGCCCTGCCCGCCTCCCTGCGGGCCACCGACAACAGGTGTCTCCCTTACAAACAAAGCTCCTTGACGCCCAGACAGTTGCCGGAGGACCAGAGGGACAGCGCTGCGGGGCACCTGCCGGAAGGCCTGACGACGCAGCCCGGCGGGGGACGGGCGCGTGCGGCAACACTAACGCACCGGCGCGTCGCCGGAGCAGCGGGTCCCGGGCACCTGGCGCGTGTTTAGTGACCAGCGCAGTCTTCGCCTCGACCGGGAGAGCAGGCGACCATTCGCAGCCGCCAGCTCACAGCTGGGAAGACCGAGGCGCGGGAAACCAGAGGCGCCGCGGCTGGAAACCGCCTCCGCAGCTGGAACCGCCTCCGCAGCTGGAACCGCCTCCGCAGCTGGAACCGCCTCCGCAGCTGGAACCGCCTCCGCAGCAGTCGGTTCCAAAGGCCGCTGCCCGCGCCGTCCGCAGAACCGCGGCCATTCCAACATGCTGTGCTGACGACACTGCCGGCCACTCAGGCTGCAATCTCGTCAAAAGGCGAGAAAATGCCCTGTGGGCGCTGCTTTAGAAACCAGTCCTTCCTTTTACCCCAGCCCAGAGAACAGGCCTGCAGCAGCCCTGGCGCCCTCCTCAGCCCAGTCACTGTGTGCTTGCCTCCTCTTGTAAGAACCATTCTTACCTTGGCCACGTGGTGACAGACGATTGCACACCAGTCTGCATCATATCATTCTACATGTAGGTGGCCCCGAACATACGAGCTGTGCTGCTGCCTGGCAGTTATTCACCCCATAACCTTTAGTCTTTGACAATTGTTGCAACTCCTAAATTTGTCACCTCTATCCAGTATTCTTTCTACCACAGCAGCCTCCCATCATACTTGCAGTGTGAGGTTGTCCCCCGACATCTATTTGTATTTTTTACTTTTTAAAATTTTTTCAGAAGGAAAAATTTGTAACTGTTATAAGTATCTACAAGATGTCAGAGAATCTTTAAAGAGGGTATTTAGGATATGTTGCCCTTTTGTACACATACAAAAAGAAAATTCTAAAAATCATTAATATGCCAGGTATAATTTGGCTCCAAAAATTAAGCCAAAATCTGCTACTTTTTGAGAAAAAAAAGATGATGTGAAATAGTTGCAAATGTCAGTTTTTGTAGCTCTCCATCTCTCTGCAGTGATTGGATTTGGGCCATACAGGATCCATTTCTACTGTTAAATCAACATAGAAATGAAAGGGAGAAAAACTCGATATAGCTATTCCCAGCCTGGCAAATCAGGAGTTAAACTTTGGAACTGACACCCCAGCATTTGGTAATCCCCTCACCCCACACTTGGCTGTAAATTCTGTGAAGGAGCCTCCTTCCGGAAATCAGGTTTTCTGGTAATGCCCTAATTGGTGCAGCGTGTATTATGGTGTGTTTAATAACTGAGCCCCTTGATTTTCAGAACAAATGGCATGCACATGCTTGCTATTAACCTTGTGAATTGCGAATAATAGATGCCAGGCTCCCATAAGTCACTGGGTGTGCAAGTGATTGCCCCCACGTTTGAGATGCTATCCTTTCTGTAATGAAATGACAAGACAATTATATCAGAAGAAGAACACCCACATATACACCCTAAATCATGCAAACTTCTGAAATTAGGTGGTAATTTAGGAGGGTGGTATCTAGGAGACCTCCCTTTCCTTCAGAGGCAAAGCCAACTGTTGTATTCCAAAGCCAACCTGAGGCCTGCTGCAGCCGTTCTCGCTACTACCTGATCACCAGTCAACTGCTGCTGAAATGAGCCAATTAGCTACACGTATGGGGTGGGGGACATAGAATTCTCAAATAATTGTAGATATAGCTAACATACTATGTTATAATCATGTTGAAAGGGTGCACATTGCAAAAACTGCCAACACAGAAGGTTTACCTGGCCATACTATGTCTTTATACACAAAATCTGTAAGTATGGATATTAGAACACTCATGATAAAGTCACAGTTCTATCCTATCTTCAGATAAATCATCAAAAGTTCGTCCGGAAGACAAAAATCCTCTTGAGGGTCAGAAGCAAAACCAAATGACTTATTCACCTACTAAAATTAATTAACTTTGAATATTATGAAATAAAATAAATGAATGAATAAATGAATGACAATAAATGAATAAAATAAATGAATGACAAAACTAGAAATGTTTTTAAACAGCACAAATGAGTTTGGTAGTGAACTGATTAATCAGAAAAGTTAGTTAAATTAAGGAACAATGAAAAAGTTAAAGGTATCTCATGCATTTTATTTATGTTAACTTAAATAAACACACTTTCAACTTCCAATCTTTTGATGTAGGATAAAAGCCATGCCCTTGAGAATGTGTTACTGATGGGAATTTCACCTGGCCTTTCTTGCATAAACCATACCCATAACTTGAAATAAGATTTCCAGTTTCAGTTTTTTTAAGGATGAAGGAATTTAAATACTTTGGTGAAGCAAAAAGCATATTAAATCCTTTTCGATTTCCCAGGTTTTAAGATCTTTTCTAAATATCTTGACTATACCTAATTTGATATCATTTTGAAGCTATTTCTCTTTATTGGGTCATTCCAAAGCATTTAATTTAATTTTCATACAAATATCTCTCTTCTGTTTCTCATTCTTATTCCATTGTCTTGCACAAATATTTAATTAAATTGTGTAATTACAATAAACACAGCTAGCATAAAAAGTTTGGGAACAAATAAAACTATAACTCAGTAAATGGGAGTGATAGCCCATGAATTTCTAAGAGCATAGACTACAAGCCATGAGCCCTCAGGAGCATATAGGACTCAGACTGATATTTTACAGAGGAAATGAAGAATATTTGTAATTTCATTAAATTCACTAAATGAAAGTCAATCAAGTGAAACAATTTTTAGTAGGTAAAATAGTTGTGGGCCACAATGTGTTATGAGAATTTACTAATACATCACAATACATTTTAAGGGAATTGATAAATATTAAAGTTACTTTTTATTGTATAATATAGATAGTCTGGATCTTAAATGGGAGTTTCAAAAACTGTCAGAATGATTCTTTCTGTTCTGTAACTTCTACCACTTCTCCGCTGTTACAGTTGTGAATACTTTTGTCCATGAGTAAAAAAAGAAAAAATTCAACAGAGGCAAAATCAGAAAGGTATTTATTGTTTAATTAATATTTCTAGAGTTGGTTCAGCAACTTCAATGTGAGTTTTAAAATTTGAGTTTTAAAATTTCTCATTTCTTGTCAGTAGGTACATGTCACTTCCCTTTATTTCAAACATTTGAATCTGCTTTCCATTTTCACAAGTTTTTAACTCTCCCCCTTTTTTTTCTGCAGAAAGATGATCTTTTCTCCTTTATTGTTTACTCTGTCAGATGGGAAATTTTAAATATTCTATTTTTATTCTTCTAGGGCTTACTTTTAAAGTAAACAGAACCCATGGTCAGATTTAATATTTTCTAATCTCTGGAGTATATATCTATAACCTCCCCCAAGACATGTAAATAACTCAAAAAGCTTTCACTTCCCTCCCTCATTTGTTCTTCACTTTTTTCCAGTCAATACTTGAGGAGGATGAATAATAAGTTTATATTTATTTCTTTTCTCACTATTGATTCTCTCATTCCATTACTTCCTGGTAGAGTCACTAAGTTTCTTTCTGGAGTAAATTTCTAGTCTTTTAATAGTTACCATTTCTTTTATGCCTAAAATGTACCATTTCTATTTTCCCGGACCTAAGTACATGCTAGACCCTAACATGACGCCTGCCACATCGAGTGCCTGTATCTGTCAAATGAGGGAATGAATGAATGAATGATGCCAAGCTCTGTCCTCAGTGTTCTGTACATATCTGTCTAGACACAAAATCCCTTCAAGGGAGACATTATCTCCATTGATGAGGGAGGAAAACAAGCTTCAGAGACGTTAATAAAAGTTGCCTAAGGTCACATCACTCTTAAAATTTGGAGTCAACCCTATGCCTACCCAACATCAAATTGCAGATTTTGTCATTTCTGTGTCCTGAAATAAGGAAACAAGGGATTTCACAGAAAAAGGAATATTGAGTATATTTATGAAGACAATACATATGTGGGTAAAAACGTACTGGAAGGGATCTTTGTCTCTTTCTTTATTGTCATCATTCTCTTGTTTTCTTTACTTTTACTTTTCCCTTCCACTTCGGCTACAATTACCATGGAAATGACAGGATTAGACCTCAGCTAGTAGAACTGATGTATTTGTGGTGGGAAAGACTGAATGAAAAGAGGAGAACAGGAATCAAAAGGGAAGCAAGAAAAGAATAAGCTGAGAGTATAAACACATCTTTTGTGCTTCACTTCCATCAAAACACACTTCTTTGTTCCTTATCATGCTCAAAAGTTTTCAAAACAATTTTTTAATTTTTGAAAGATGCATTTACTATAGAATGTGAACACAGTCTGTCATGTTCAAACATAGCAGACGATGACTCTGTTGAGTAAAGGCCTCCAGAGCTGAAAGGAAAACTTAAAAGCAATTGCATATTATCCCAATTTCCTGTACTCTGAAGAAAGTGAGAGAAGCAAGAGAAAGAACTGCAAGGATAACCGGGGGAAGAGCAGACAACAACCAATGAGTGCACCACCCCCACCCTGCACTTGAGAGGTGCCTCCCACCCCAGCATGCAGCTACGCCCCTCGCTCTCACTGAGTAAGGAGCGGCAGGGGCAAGGGAAGTGGCCACGCCTGTCCATATCTTTCTCTTCTAGACCGCACTTCATACTCAAATGGCCCTGGGTCTATTTCAGGATCTATGCAGGCCCTTCCCAAGGTTCCTTCTCTGAGGGTGGACTGCTTCTGCACCCCTTGGCCAGATAGACAGCCAAGAGACTACAGGTGCCCAGTGGAGAGAGGCTGGGTGGAGCTGTACATGCAGGCTGGGTGTCCAAATGCATGTACACGAGACCCTTCATAGTAAGACACACGGCCCAGGTGGAAAGAGAAAGGGGCAAGCCAAAGACCAGGCCTCTATTTGAAGTCTGCCCAGGGCCATCAAATGTTAGAGGTGAGCCTGGGGAAAACTATTACTAACAGAGAGATCAGCAAGTGGAGAGGCCCTGACATCTCTCTTCCTAGGGTGATCTTCTCCGTGACATCCCAGAAATCACTGTGCCTTCTTTTCT